CTATTTAGCATGCATTTATTCAGTCATTACATAACTTGTTTTTGTAACCTGTGGCTATATGGTCACATGGGTCTCAGCGGTGGAACTAAATAAGATTAGAAAAATGTGATAACTGCGGTTCTGTTTGTTCAGAAGAAAGAATAAATCCCTTGTCGCAGACATGAAATATACAAAATGCAACTTGGGGTCTTGTTTCTTCCATTACTTTTTAAAAAGAGGGGGGGGAGGTTTGGTACACCCACAGGGCCTCAAAAAATCAGAGACGGCATCTTTGAAAGTCTTTCTCTTCCTTTCCATAAATTGCACCAGTGTGGTAGATTGTAGTCTGGATTCCCAGGAGGGAGGGGCCACATTCCAGAAGACCAAGAGAGAGCAAAGCTTAAATATTTCACTTAGGAGAAAGAGAGTTAAGACTCCCTAGCAATTCTCAGAGTATATCTTTTAGTGATGCAAAAAGTTGCTTCAATTTGGCAAGATTTATATCTAGTGAGGAACAATAAAGGAAACTGCTCGGAGGTAACTCTACAGTAGTGGCCAAAATTGTGGAAACCTTTTGGGGAAAGTATATTTTTGAGGTTTGATGGCTAATAACACCACTTTTTTTTTTTTTTTTGGAGTTTCAAGATAATCATATTCCACTGCTGGAATGGCCTGGGAATAGATTGAAAAACTATGGAGCTGACTAAAGAAACTTGTTAGTCAGAAGCGACCCAGCAATAAAACCCAGTTAATAGAAACAATCATTCAATCTTGGTTTCACATTCTAACAGCTGCAGAACTAAAAGACTTGGTTCACTCCATGGGAACACATTGTAAGGCCGTAATTCATGCTAAAAGTTACTGACATGGTGATAATTTTTGTATATCTCATTTTTTCTACGGTGATAATTTTTGTATATCTTGTTTTTTCTACATGTTTCACTTTTCTTCTTTATACTGTAACTGCTATTCTAATAGCAAATCCTTCATAAAAGCTATTGCATTACATTCTTGATTAAATAATCTTTCCATTGTTATATAATTTTATGGTACTACTCCAAAAAAAATTGGTGTTATTAGCAGTTGTAGAAAATACACTTTTCCTAAAATGTTTCCACAAGTTGTGGAAGTACAAGTGACAAGTTGTGACACTTTAAAAAAAAGTTACAAAGCTTCTGTCATGTGATCACAGACATCATTTTGATTTGATTTGATTTTTTTGATGCCTTGGACATACTACTAACACTCATGAAGAAACCTGGGCCAGAAAACATGGTGCCTCCTACTGTGAGAGAAAATTGTTCTTAAAATTTGAATCATAACAAAATGGACCAAATCAACATCATTTTGAAAGATTTTTAAAATAACTAAAGAAACTATTGAGTTATTCCTGATATTTGTATATAGCTTGGGGATGGTCAGATGGTATACAGGTAGCCCTTAACCACAATTGAGCCCAAAATTTTCATTACTAAGCAAGACAGTTGTTAAGTGAATTTTGCACCATTTTATAACCTTTCTTGTCACAGTTGTTAAATTAGTAACACAGTTCTTAAGTAAATCTGGTTTCTCCATTGACTTTGCTTATCAGAAGGTCACAAAAGGTGATCACATGACCCCAGGACATTGCAACTGTCATAAATACACATCAGCTGCCAAGCGTATGAATTTTGATCATGTGACCACGGGGGTACTACAACTGTTGTGTGAAAAATATTCATAAGTCACTTTTTTCAATGCTGTTGTAACTTCGAAGAGTCACTAAATGTTTGTAAGTTGTGGACTATTTTTTATTTATTTATTCAATTTCTGTTGCTGCCTAACTCAACCAAGACAAGGAGGAAAGTACATTTCCTCCATTCTTCCATTTTCCCAATTTGGGAATTACATCCTTTAACTTAGTAACTGTTTGGCAGGTTGAATGAAATGTAGGCAGCACGTAGGATCAGTAAGGAACTAGGAAGATACGAGTCTTACAACCAGGGGTGGGCTGCTGGGGATTTGCAGGAGTTTGGGAGAACCTCTAGCTAAGATTCTGTGCAGTTCAGAGAACCCCCAAATCCCACTCCTGGCTGGCCCCATCCACCCCGCCCCACCCCTCGCAGGAGTCCCCATGCGGCCTGTTTTGGATGCAAGTTAGTGCAGGGAGCGCATGGAGGCTCAAGGAGGATGAAAAATGGGCCTACCAGAAGTTTGGGAAGGCTGGAAATGAGCCCGTTTCCAGCCTCCGGAGCTGGGGAGGCAGTTTTCGCCCACCTGGAGGCTCGAGGAAACCCTCCACCCCAAGGAGCAGGGGTGAAATCTAGCAGGTTCTGACAGGTTCAGGAGAACCAGTAGCGGAAATTTTGAGTAGTTCGGCGAACCGGCAAATACCACCTCTGGCTGGCCCCAGAGTGGGGTGGGAATGGAGATTTTGCAGTATCCTTCCCCTGGAGTGGGGTGGGAATGGAGATTTTGCAGTATCCTTCCCTTGCCACGCCCACTAAGCCACACCCACCAAGCCGCGCCCACACAACCAGCAGTAAAAAAAAAATTGGATTTCACCACTGCCAGGGAGGGCAAAAACGCACCCCCCCCCACCCCACCCCCCGCCATGGTGCAGGAGGCTGACTAGGTCACGCCCACCATGGCCAGGCCCACCTAGCAACTGGGCAGAGAACTCCTTGCTAAAATTTTTAAAGCCCACCCCTGTTTACAACCAATTGGCCTTTTGTCCCAAAGGTGCTTTCTTCAGGAGGCAACTGAACTTTCTTGTTTTTTCTTTTGAAGACGTTTCGCTTCTCATCCAAGAAACTTCTTCAGCTCTGAGATCTTGGTCACCTGAGTAATGTTCCTGGTTTCTGACCCTGAGGAGAACCTCCAAGTGCTTCAAGGACCCTCTAAAAGGATGCAAATTAACAGCTGTTTGCAAGGAATATAAATCCTTCCACCACCTCCACCACCCCACTATCCTGTCAGAGCTAGAGAAGCTTCTTGGATGAGAAGTGAAACATCTTCAAAAGTAAAAAAACAAGAAAAGTCCAGTTGCCTCCTGAAAAAGCACCTTTGGGACAACCATGACCAGGATGACTGAGAATCTCTATAGACAACTGGCCTTTTGTCTTTACTGATTCAGTTCTGAAGCAGTATTTACTCCTTCCTCCAGAGCAGTGGAAGAAGTCATAGTGGAGAAAGTGAATGTCGTTGTTTCCTTAACCTAAAAAGCACAATCCATGCTGCATTTGCTTGATGGTACATCCTTTAATGCCTCAGCATGTGGGAGATGTGATGTGTGCCCCAGATGGCACAACAGTGATTCAGCCACCAGACGGCTACGCCTTATGGATGGTTTGTTTTTCAGCATAATGAGGCAGGCTTAAATAAAGATATCAATGTTTAGGCCAGCCATGAGTATTCAAAAAAGCTGTCCAGAGTTGCCTTGCAGAATGAGATGCGCAGGAAAAATAATAAAATAAATAAATAATAAAGTATAAAATAAAATAAAATATAAATTAAAGTAATAAAATAGAATAATAAAATTATTCCTACTGTCCTACTGTCCCCATTTATTTGTATTCATTCCTTCATTCATGTCCATGTTCATACTTATACCTGCTATCTTGTACATGTTTGACAAACTAATAAAATAAAATAAAGTATAGTATAGTATAGTATAGTATAGTATAGTATAGTATAGTATAGTATAGTATAGTATAGTATAGTATAGTATAGTATAGGAAAGGAAAGGAAAGGAAAGGAAAGGAAAGGAAAGGAATGGAATGGAATGGAATGGAATGGAATAGAATAGAATAGAATAGAATAGAATAGAATAGAATAGAATAGAATAGAATAGAATAGAATAGAATAGAATAGAATAAAAAAATAGTACTCCAAGTACCAGATCTGGAATAATAAATCAGATTTCTAGGTCCTCAGATAAAATGGTATCTGAGATTATTTTTTATAGATGGAATGATCAGCGGCCTACTTGAAAGCTGATGCATGATTTGAGCTAATTTTGAGTAGCATGACTCAGCCTTCATCTAAAGGAAGACCTTTTTAAAAAAGTGAAAGAGAACGTAATGAACAACATTCATTTAGAACATCCAAGTTCCAGAACCTTCTGAAAGTATAGGTCACTGATTCATAACATCACTATTTTAATCCAGGAATGTTAACTTGCCCTTGATGCAGGAATACTTTTTCAATTTTAATACATCTTTTTTTTTTTAAAAAAAAGTTGGTTTTAATTGTCTCCAGAAATGGCTTTATAGAGGTTTTTAGAAAATAAAAATTGAGCTGTTGAGATTAACAACAGCTGTGTATATGATCCCATTTAGAGCCCTCTTGAAATCTTAATTCTGAAGGGGGCAGACAATATAAAACTCTTGAAACAAATAAAATTTTGGGAAGAAATACCACATCCTACAGTTACATACTGAAACATCCTTTTTTATAATAGATGGAATATAATAATTTTAAAAAAACCCTTACTCCCAATATTCTATGAGGGAGATAGCAATTTCAAAATTTGATAAGTAAATAAAATTATGTCATTCTACGGGAAGCATCTTTCAAACTGTTACAGTTATGGACCACAAAAATAAATACTTGGAAAATGTCTGACCGGTGGCCAGTTAAACATCCTCTCTCATACACTATTGTTATGCCACGGTGAAGGGAGGTGGCGAATAAGATCATAACTGTGGTTGCATTTATGTACCGCTTCCCATTCCCTCCATTTTAAGAGGACTTTTAAAACTAAATTTTAAACCAAACCATTTAATCCAGAATTATTTCCTTACCAATTGAATCGTTTTATGTTTCCCGGTGCCATAATAACAATCCTAATAGCACACATTTGCTAGTCTGGAATATTTGTCCTTAGAGACTTCTGAATATTAAAGGACTGGAGAAGAGTAGATCTCCACTCAGTGAAATACCATTTTTTACATTTTCATCACCATCTTTCCTATTTGCAGTTGTCTTTGGAGAATGCAAATTGTTGTTGCACTTTGCACAACACACACTGGGTAACTTACACTTGAGAACATCCTCTGTTTTCAATTGTATGCATGTTAAGACTCATGTTATTGCTTGTCTTCTCGTTTCTATGCTTCAGGGAACCAGTTTCTCAGCCACTGATCCATTCTTGCAAGACAGGGACTGAGTCAGAACCTGGGGCAACAAGCAGGATCTTGTGTGAAGCCTAAGACACAAACAAGGGGGTTAGAATGATACCAATTTAGAACATGGAACACATATGTCCAGTATATTTTTGAAAGCCTCCAGTGATGGAGCACCAACTCTGGAAGGCAAGCTATTCCATTGATTCATTGTCATTCCTCCTTACTTCTAGGTTGGAGATTTCTTTAACAAGCTTCCACCCATTTCTTCTTGTCTTGCCCTTTGATGCTTTGGAGAATAAGTCAATCCCTTCTTCTCTGTGTCAGTTTCTTAAGTATTAGAAGATAGTTATCATGATGTTCCCCCTAATCTTTCTCATCAATAGGCTAGCCGTACCTAGCTCTAACTTCCATTAGATGTTTTTAATGAAGAGGTGGGGTCAGACGTGGGCTTCACATAATTTAAACAACCGGTTCGCCCAGAATCAAAAATGTGAGCGTGCGCCTTGCGCATATGTGCGCTGCATCAAAAACACGGCAATTCACTCACCTACCCCGTCCACACATTATTTTTTTCCCCAGCCTGGACTGAACTATCATTTAGTAGGTAAGCTACTAATAAACTCTTTTCTTATCTTTTAGCTGTTTTTGTCCAACATTTTGTGTATTACTTTTCCATTTTCCTACCAATCTTTCACATGGAAGTTAGCCTTTGGCATATGCGGGGAATTAAGGCCGAAACTAGTCTGTGAAAAGGGAAAAGTTGTAGTGGATCCTTTGCTGAACTTCTGTAGATCACCAACAATCTGCAGGCTATAATTTGAGAATCATTGCATTAGTCTGAACTACATTAAGAAGCAGAATCCAGAATGGGGATTATGCAGATGTGATTTGCAGCAGTTGGGATCAACAACAGAGGTTTAGGGGAAGTTTTCCCAAAATATTTTTGCAAGTGAACTTTTGAAAAAATGATTTATGTCATATTTGCAAATTAATGTACTCCACTTTTTTTTTAAAGCCATTTGAGCAGTTATAAATCAAAGAGTTGTCATGCCAATACCAATATAAGCCATCTCTACATTTTCACTTAGCTAGACAACAGGTTTTTTTTTCTTTTTTAAATAATTAAGCATTTTTAACAAAAAGAGAAGGAAAAAGATTAAAACAGAAGAGAACATAGGCCCGAAGAGAAAAGGAAAGCACAAAAGCGGATAAACCACCAATTTACAAGTATCTAAAGTTAGATTAAAATTTTCAGTATTTTATTAATCAGTTTTAAATAAATTTCAAAAATTACAGATCATTGGTAAAATCCAACTAATCTGCAAATATCAGTAACAATAATCAATGCATATAAATCATAAAATGAGGTTAAGAATTACAGAAATTTCAATCGGAACAATTGATGATTTTATATTAATAGAAACCCAAATTCAGAGAACAAGGCTTTCTTGACACCAGCAATTTTCCTCCTTATCCATACAATTTTATCATTAACTACACTTTATTCATTATTAACTAATGTCATCATTAGCTTATGAATAAACTACTATTTATTCATTATTAACCAAGTCCATCATTAATGATTCTAACATTAAAATAGTGCATTCCCCTTATTCTAGCACCATCTAACAATGAGGTCTTTTGTAGACCATTTAGTTCAATAATCTGCTCAGAGCATGAGAAATTAAATGTGGCTTTCTTCCCTCAAAATTCCTGAAATTCTGGGACTTGTAGTCCCAACAAATCTGGAGGCCTTCAAGTTGTGGAATCTTCTATATGCCACTAAAACTCTCATTGTAATCACCTTTAACTGGGAAAAACACTGCATCATAGGGCATAATTTATGAACCAAACTACCTCGAATGGGCTAACATACAGAATGTGTCCAAAATCCAGGACTCCTGAAGAAGTGACATTTAAGGAGGTTGTGACTGTTTCAGTGCTGCTGGGTTTTGCTGGGCTTCTGCTATAGTCATATGATCCAGTGGTGGGTTTCAAAATTTTTTACTAGCGTGGCTTGGTGGGCGTGGCAGGGGAAGGATACTGTAAAATCTCCATTCCCACCCCACTCCAGGAGAATCCCCATTTCCTCCCAATCAGCTGGGACTTGGGAGGCAGAGAATAGATGGGGGCAGGGCCAGTCAGAATTTTTACTACCGGTTTTCCGAACTACTCAAAATTTCCGCTACCAGTTCTCCAGAACTGGTCAGAACCTGCTGAAACCCACTTCTGATATGACCTTCATTTTCAATGTTCTGTGATTCCATGACAGTTTCCCAGCCACTCTTGCAATCCCTCAATAGGGAAGCCAGCAGGAAGTCAGAAGTTGCACCCATTCCCACTGCTTTTTTGTCCACCTGTGATTATTCTGTTTCTCTGTTTAGGTAAGAAAATGTCTCTGAAACAATAACCCACCAGGTAAGCATTGTCTTGTGTTGCTCTATAACTTGATTGTAATGGATTTACAGTGATGAACTTAGAAAGTCATTTCATTTCATTTTTATTGAGTAAAGCCCTCAACATCTGTTTGCCTTAGCAATCTGCAATTATGGTTCCACCAAAGCTTACAAAGATAGGCAGCTCACAAGAATGGGATCAATCTATTGGAGCAAATGGAATCAATCTATTGGAGCACAAAAATAAAACTAGTTTTGCTTTCCCGGAAAGATTTCAATTTAGATTCATGATAACCCTGTGTATCCATCTAGCCATAGTTTATAAAGCATATAGCATCATAAAGATGTTGCCAAGATTGTCCTTACCTGTGTGGTAAGCCCCCAGCCCCCCCCCCCCTCCGGAAAAATGAAATATATTGGGAAATATTTAAAAAGGTAGAATATTGTATTTCCCTAAAGGAGAAATGGAGAAACGTGTTTTTAGAGGCAGAAAGCAGCTCCCAGTCTTTCTTAATAGCCCACAGCAGATGCCAGCACTTAAGGAGATAAAGAGCTTATTGAAAGAGGAAGCCAACTATCTAGATGTCTCCATTCATAAACAAAGCAAATACTGCCGGCAGAAGCCCATTCAAGACAGGATATGTCGAAACTCCTTGCAGCAAAGTTTGACAGCTAACAAAGGCAGAATGGTAGGATTAGAACATTCAGCCCCTCACCCAAGATCTAGCACATCTAGGACGAAAGCCATTAACCACAATAGGAATTGCCGACATCCTTCCAGAACACCAGCCCCTTCATTGCACAATCACCCCCAGCAGCATTTCAGGACCTGTATAAAAATCCTGGCACTCATCTAGCTAACTGGTCAGCTGCCCCAGAACCACAAACCCTGGTGGTTCTGTCCATCAATAAACAGAATATTTTTTTCCAATCAGCCTCCAGCCTCCATTTTATTTCCAGCGATTTTCTCCCAGCTTGGAACTGAACCAGATGGATTTTCCTTCCAACACCTAGGAATAAAATAGAGAAGAAAGCAATGGCTTTGAACAGAATTTTTGTATCATCTGACGCAAAGCTAACCTTGTAGAGTCTTCATGCAAAGTTACCAAGTAGTGGCCAGAGATTTCCTGTCTCTACAGCTAAGTGCAAAGGAAATGTGGCGATCCCTCTTTGCAATATACAAAGCTGCTGCCTAGAGTTTGCTAGGAAACAGCTTGAGCAAAATCTCAACAATCTCTGATGCATTCCTCTTTCTGATTGGTCACTTTCCTGTACAACTGACATCATCTTGTTACCGGGCGAAAAACATCTGAAGCTGAAGCTTTGATGATATTGCACAATGAGCCAGTTGAGGAAAAGTAATTATTTTTGCACTTTAAAAAACAAAACAAATAGCTGTCATTTAGCAGCCTAGTTAAAGGTTAGACAATTAAAAAAAGCTCTTTTTAAACCTGTAGTTTAATATTAGCAGATCATTATTACACAAGCAAGAATTGGGGCATAATTCTGGTGTTTTTTTGTTCATTAGGAAAGTAAATAGACACACTTCAGATATGTTGGACTATAAATACCATAATCCTTACAAGGTAGCCAAGAGGTTTGGGATGATGAATATTTTGTAGTATACCTTTCCATTTGTTGCCAAAGTGTTAACTTTTAATGAGCTAAAATCAGTGCTGGGATTCAGCCAGTTCGCACCACTTCGGGAGAACCGGTTGTTAATTTTCTGAGCAGTTTGGCAAACTGGTTGTTGGAAAAAATCATTAGGGCAGAGAACCGGTTGTTAAATTACTTGAATCCCACCACTGGCTAAAATGTACTATCAGTGCATTGGTGAAATCCAATTTTTTTTACTACCAGTTCTGGAGGGCGTGGGTTGGTGGGTTGGTGTGGCTTGGTGGGCGTGGCAGGGGAAGGATACTGCAAAATCTCCATTCCCACCCCATTCCAGGGGAAGGATACTGCAAAATCTCCATTCCCACCCCACTCCTGGGGGAAGGATACTGCAAAATCTTCATTCCCACCCCATTCTGGAGTCAGCCAAAGGTGGCATTTGCCAGTTCTTTGAACTACTCAAAATTGCCACTACCGGTTCTCCAAATTACTCAAAAGTTCCGCTACCGGTTCTCCAGAATCTGTCAGAACCTGCTGGATTACACCCCTGTATCAGTGTCATAATTGCTAAATGAACTTTGAAAGGCATAATTAGACTTCATAAACTTCAAATTTAACCCCTGCATATGCAGAAGTGCTCAAAGTATTTATTCATATACCACCATGTTATATATAGATGCCTAAAAGGATATACTAAAAACCACAATAATTGTAGGAAGCCCCCCCACTCCCGGAAGAATGAAATATTTTGAGAAATATTAAAAAGGCAGGATTAAATATTTCCCCTAAAGGCAGTGGTCAGATTCAAAAATGTTAGCAATCGGTTATCTGCCCGGTTGCTGGGTGGGCATGGCCATGGTGGATGTGGCCTACTTGGCCTCCTGCACCATGGCGGGTGGGGCGTTTTTGCCCTCCCCAGGCTCCGAAGGCTTCCCTGAGCCTTTGGGAAGGCAAAAACAGCCTGCCCCGGGATCCAGAGGCCCTCCGGAAATCAGAAACGAGCCCGTTTCTGGACTTCTGGAAGACCCATTTTTCACCCTCTGGAGGTTCCGGAGGATGAAAACAGCCTCCCCTGGGCTCCGGAGCCCTCCGGAGCCCGGAAACAGGTCTGTTTTTGAACTTCCAGAACTTCCGGAAGGCCCATTTTTTGCCATCCCAGACCCTCCACGCAGGCCCTGTATTTACCTGCCATGATGAATGGGCCGTGAGGAGACTCCTGGGCAGGGAGGGGTGGGTGGAGCCAGCCAGTCCTTTCAACAACCGATTCGGAGAACCAGATGCAAATTCAGACGCCCGAACCGGTTTAAACCGGCTGAATCCCACCCCTGCCTAAAGGAGAAATGAAAAAATCTTAAGGGAGGCAGAAACCAACCTCAGTCTCCCTACCCCAAGTAGAAACTGAGGAGGCCAGCTTTTAGAAATGCAGATTTGGTAATCCATTCAAGACAGGGTATTTTGAAACTCCTTGCAGCACAGCTAACAAAGGCAGAATGATAGTATTAGAAAGCAGCTCCACACCCAAGATCCAACACAGGACAAAAGCTGTTAGCCACAATAGGAATTGCCCAACACCCTTTCAGAACACAAGCCCCTTCATTGCACCATTCCCAGAACAGGTAAAACTTCAAAGTCACAGAAACCTACAAAAATCCATCCTCTTATTCAACCATTTTGTTCAGTTGACCCAGGACTGTCTTTGTGGTTCCCCTCATTCCTAGTCTGCGTGGCTAATGATTTGATGAATTTGAATTATGGAAGCTATATTTCAAGAAATATATTCCTGGTGTAGGAAGTTAGCATCCACCCCTCTCCTAGGAAAATGAGATATTTTAGGAAATATTAAAAGGGCAGAATATTTCCCCTAAAAGGGAGGCAGAAACTCACACATCCCACCTTTGTTAATGGGCCATTAAGGCCTGGACCAGTCTATTCTACATAACAAAGATCTACCTCCTTCAGGCAGAGCCATAGTAGGAATTGCCCAAAGCCCTTTCATTACATCATCACCCAGCAAGGCTCAACCAAGCCTGGGACACAGACAACCTACAAAGTTACCCCTGCATGGCCCCATGGGAGTCTGACAACCAATCAGAATACAAGCTCAAATTCAAAAGCCCAGAGATGGCATTAGAACCCAGGCACTCTCAGCATCTCTTCGCTTTTTTTCCCAGGACCTCAAATCATGTGGTCCTGTCCACCATTAAAAACCATCTTTCCAATTAACCACCATGTTTCCAGTGTCTTTCTCCCCACTTGGAACTGAACCCAGATGGACATTTCTTCCAACACTGGGGACAACTGAACAGGTAGCCTCTATATTGAAATATTAATAGTCTCATCACCATGACCACCAGGTGGTACCAAAAAACTTAGTTACTCAGGAACGATAACTTTTTATATTAAAGAATAAAATAATTTTATAAACTCTTGAGTTCCATCCTACTTTTTCTGCCACAAGATCTTAAAAACCTATGCTGGTTATTGAGATTCTTCTATTTCAATTCCTACTTTTTTTCAGTTCTGCTTTTGTCCTCTATCACTTCCTCAATTACACTTTCTATGCTACTAGTCATTTTTAGATTGTGAGCCTAGCCCTAGAGGCCAACAAAATATTTTTAATAGTGCATGCCTCTAGGGAATTAAAGCAGCTTTTGAGAAAAAAAAAAGTTACTGCTGTGACAGTCATTGAAACCTATTTCTGTGTTCAGTTTTCTACATCCCATATTGGGCATCAGTAAGCTGCGCTCACTTGCTTTCCTGACGGAGTATCCAGTGCTTTGGAAAACAAGTAAAAATAATAAATTGTACTTAATCATTGGAAAGTCAAGACTGATTTGAAAGACCATAAAAACAACAAGCAATATTGAAATGTTCATGTAGATGTCAAAAGTCAACTCTAGAATCAAATAGATTAACAGATTGGAAAGGACCTTGTACTGTAGGTCATCTAATCCAAACCCCCACCCCCACCCCATCCAAGCAGGAAACCCTACATCATCTTTGACAAATGGCAATTCAATCTCTTCTTAAAAGTCTCCAGTGATGAAGCTCCCACAACTTCTGAAGGCAACTTCTGTTCCATTGGTTGATTGTTCTCACTGTCAGAAAATTTCTCCTTATTTCTAGGTTGAATCTCTCCTTGATCAGCTTCCATCCATTTTTCCTTGTCTGGCCTTCGGGTGCCCTGGAAAATAGTTTGACCCCCTTCTCTCTGTGGCAGCCCCTCAAATATTGGAGTACTGCTATCATGTCTCCCCTGGTCCTTCTCTTCACTAGACTAGACTACAGTTCCTGCAACCGTTCTTCATATGTTTTAGCCTCCAGTCCCCTAATCATCCTGGTTGCTCTTCTCTGCACTCTTTCTAAAGTCTCAACATCTTTTTTACACCATGGCGACCAATTTCAACCAGGGTTAGAGGGAGCAGAGATCAAACCCAAGCCAAAAAAAAGACAAACAGGAAGAAAACAAAAAACTTCAGAGTGCTATTAGAAGAAACAAAAAGCAGTGTTCTTGTCAGGCCTGGAAACCATATTTTGCATTGAATCTTCAGGCCTGCCACATTTTCTACTGTTGGAATTGTATGGAGCAAGGGTGATATATAGTCATAATAACATTCCTTTCTCAGAGAGTCAAGGTCATCTTGCCCTGCACCTGGACAGTTGGAATTGGGAGGCATCTCCAGGTTGAGATGGTGCTTTGATTGGACCATGTGGGTGCTGGGCAGGGACTTGGACTTTCCTTTGGGTGCGGAAAACTGGAAGCTTTCAGATTCGGGTTTCCCCAGATGTGCCAATATGACATCTCTAATAAAATGAAACTTTGAGGAAACTCAAGCCTCGGAGTTTTCTTTCATTGGGGATGTTTCTTGGAACCCTGACAGTTACAACATCTGTAAAAATGATGATAGAAAACTGAAACAGAAAAAGAGGATAAGTCTTCGAAAAAAAGAAGGTTCCAACCTCAATTGGAACACTAAAAAAATCTATAGATAGATGATAGATAGATAGATAGATAGATAGATAGATAGATAGATAGATAGATAGATAGATAGATAGAAAGATAGATAGATAGATAGATAGATAGATAGATGATAGATGATAGATAGATAGATAGATAGATAGATAGATAGATAGATAGATAGATAGATTAAAGTAACCAATCGTCCTCTTTTAGGGAGGACAGTCCTTCTTTTGTAAGTTCTGTCCTCTCTCAAAAAGTGTCCTCCTATATGTCCTCCTTTTCGATATTTGAAGACTAATCTGTAAATCTTCATATTTGATCGATGCCGATCCGATCCGTTGCGTGTGATGTGACGTATTTGTATTTGATATGACAATTTGTCAAGGCTCGGTACAGTGCGGCGAGATGCGATTATGAGACACATGCGCTCCGCACAGGAGAATTGTTTTGAGAGAGTGCGTGGCGCGCAAGTGGCTTTGTTTACTTCTTACCAAAACACGACATGGCACACACGCATGTGTCCTCCTTCTCATTGTAAAATAGTTGGTCCCCTTAAAATAGATAGATAGATAGATAGATAGATAGATAGATAGATAGATAGATA